TTATTTAGAAAACGTTCGTGTTGACATGTTTCGCCGATTAAACAGCGTTATAAAAAATGTATTTTATTTCAGCTATATATGCACAATCGCGATGGAAAAGAGATTTGCGTTAAGCATATGAACGCTTATTTTTGCCGAAGAAGGTAATGAATTTTCCGTCGTCAACATTTAAAAATTATTTAAAATTTTTCCAGTGGCTCTAATTGTATATAAACATTTTAACATTAGAGGATCTGTGAAAAAAAAAAGCACTTGATATTCATATCAGATTTAGACAGCACTAGCAGTGACAAATCTATTATGTTAACTAACGATGTTTAAGCTTCAGGACCTCTAATCCCATTTTTTACGAGTGAATTTTTAAACAAAATCGATGTGCTTACGTAATTGTTATTAAAATAAGGCCAATTTAGTGATTGAATTCTAAGTCAATGGGTTGAAGTAGATAACGTTTTCCTTAGAATATTCTCCAATACCTAAAATTCCCCTGTAATTAGTCAAATTTCAAAATTCTCTTGGGGGTTAGCTGCGCCTGAAGCCCAGATATTAGGTCTCATTAAGCTCGCCAGAATCTATTTATAGACTACAAATTGAATCTTCAAATCTATTTTTGCTGGTGGACATATATTTTCGTAGCCCTGGAGCAAAGTGAGCACACTTTATTAACTTTGGAAAAGAAACAGAAAATAAATATGGAAATGGTTTTATCAACAATATGAAATTCAGGAATAATATCCATAGACATTGGACGAATAATAATATAATGCAGATTGAAGAACATTACAAGAACTATCCATACATCTTTTATCGTTCCTCGTAAAATCTTTGAATATCCTGAAATACTTGTAGCGTTTTCGTGACTCAGTACAAGACACAGAGGTTTGGAGAGGACTGATAAGAGCCATTTCCAAAGTTACTGAAGATGAGAGCTCACACTGATTTGCAGCTTGCTTTTAAGTCGAAACAACTTATTATGATGATATCTACGCTTGATTTTTAAAATCTTCATTGTATTACTTTTTTAAAGATTTTATTAATTTTAACTCAGTTTTTTTTTTTTTTTTTTTGTTGAAAGTATTTTATATCCGATATTGTTTCAACACCTGTTTCATAAGAATAGGTGATAAAATAAAGTAGCCTGGTTGTGTATTAACCACTAGAGATTTTTATGTCATACTACTTCCAGGTTTGTGTAAATTATCGTCATTTTAAATGAGATGTTTCATGTCAAAATAATAACCACGAAGGTTTCTATCACATACCACTGCACTGAGTGTCATGTTTAATTTAAAGTCTACTTCATGTTTGTATATTATTTTCTTTAAATTTCGGGATGTTCGCCGATGTAATTGGGGGCATTCTTTACATTTATTTTGCTTTTGATGTAAAAATTAACTGACTGTTTTACTTTGATTAAATTTTTAATTGTTTTTGAAGTTTTTTTTAGCGTTTGTGTTTTCTCTCACGATATTGTACATTTACGTGAAATAAATCCATTTTTCTGATCATTTGCTTTGATCGTCGAAACAGCTCAACATAAAAACTTCTCTAAATTGTCATAGATTTACCATAGATAAATTTATATGCATATTCAAATGTACAATAATGAAAAATAGATCTTCTCTCTGTTGGTTTTGACACGCACTCACACACACACAACACAAGGACACACATGCACGCATATCTATATAGGTACGTAGAAGTCCGCAGCCTTCTGTTGATAAAAGCACTTATTTTGAACACTACATATTTATTTTTAGAACATAAATTCCTTCTTTGTCAATGCACTTAATCTAATAGTAAGCATTCAAACATTATACATTTCAAACTTTAAACATTTCAGATTAAAATTCAACATGTCAAGCTACACAATTATTTGTCAACCATCATATACAGAAAATAACTTGAGGCAGGAAACTGACTGTCACAGTGAAGTGTTGATGCCTGTTCCCACTCTGTCTATAATTATAAATACACTATTTTCCCCTGTTAATATACCAAATTTTAAACTATATATATATATATATATATATATATATATATATATATATATATATATATATATATAGTTAGTTAGTTAGTTAGTTTATGAAAAACTAGGTAATCCGTATGGGTAAACCTAAGGAGGATAAAAATCCAGAGAGCTCAATGTAAATCCAGAGCAAATAACAAATTTTCATTTTTTTTTTTAATTTAATTTAAATTTTCATTTTTGTTTCAACCTTTGGAAGTAAAGTCTTATGATCCACAATCCTTTAAAAGGGCTGTGGTGAAATAATTTATTACATGGAACCGTAAAGTGGTTTGTTTTATTTAATATATATATATATATATATATATATATATATATATATATATATATATATATATATAAATATAAATATGTTGTACAGTTTAATTTATATTACAATGAATCATTCATACAAAAGTAAATTAGTAAAGTTAATGATATAAAATGGCGAAATCCCTTCGCTAACAATATTTTAAAGAAGCATCAACCCACTAATTACTCGATGAATGTTATGATCCCTGTTTTTAAAATTACAAATTCTATTAGGTCTTCCTTAAATATGCAAATACTTTCGACGGTTCCTTCGTTATCAATAACACATTAAAAAAAAAGATATTTCGATTTGCATTTATATTTTTTCATCTCAGATCCTACCTGAATTTTACTAAAAACAAAATTGATTCCATGCCTGAGGATGACCAGAGGAACTGTCGAAACTACTTGGATATTTAAGGAAGACCTAGTACAGTTTATAATTTAAAAAAACAACAACAAGGATCATAACAATCATGTAGTGATTAGTGGGTTAAAGCAGCTTTAAAATTTAGTTAGCGAAAGGATTTCGCCATTTTATATCATTAACTTTACTAATTTACTTTTGTACCAATGATTCACTGTAATATATATATATATATATATATATATATATATAAGTATATAATTGGTGTATACGGAATGAATTCCAATAACCAACAATTACTATTCTTAAAAGAGTGCTCAATACAAAGTAGAGCAGATATAATTATTTATTTAGAAAATTTATAACATAAACATGTTATAAAATCACTACAAAAATAGCCATAGAAACTTTGAAAAAAAACTTTTGAGTTGTTGTCGAACGCTAAGGTTGAATTTTATAAAAAAAAAAAATTCAACCTTAGCGTTGCGACTGCACGCTCCAAAAGTTTTTATCCGTTAACAATTACACTTTTCTGAAAAAGACATAATTCGATTCGCATTTAATCTTTCGTCTCTGATGCTACCTGGATTTACTAAAAACAAAATAATTTCCATGCCTGAGGATGACTGTATGTACAGTTGAAAGTACTAGCAGATTAAAAAATGACCTTATACGGCTTGTAGTTATTAAAAACAAAGATCATAACATTCATCGAGTGGTTCGTTGGTTAATGCAACTTTAAAATTTTGTTTGGGAAGAGTTTTCGCCATTTTATATCATTAACTTATCTGCTTTTTGCATGAATGATTCATGTAATATATATATATATATATATATGTTGCATATTGAGTACTGGTGTTAATAAAATAGAGCTCCATGTAATATAATGGAGCTATTAATTATATATCAATAAATATACATCTTTTCCATCACCGGTAGCACGACTCAGAGTTTCATGCACAACGCAATGTTCAGGTGCTGAGTAGAGACTGACCGTTACATAAAATAAATTTGAATCAAAATATCTGGTTAATGCAATGCTGGCGCAGTCTATATATTATACGGGGTTTACTGATTTAAAAATGTATTTAAAATAGACAGGATTTATATTTTATATTTAAAATAAATGGTGATTAATGGCATTTAAAAAATTACATAAAAAATGTACATATAACTATATATATATATAAAAATGATATATGCTCGATATAAGATAATTAGATAAAAGAATATTATAAAGGAAAGGTTATAATCGGTAGAAATTAATCTAGATCAACGTATTTCAACAGGTTTTTATTTTTATGCCTACAAGTAATCATAAATTCAATTCTCTTGTTTAATAAGTTAGGGTTATTTAAAAAGATTTTTCTACAAGGCATAAATTACATCTATCACCTTTCCCATTGTAAGATCTATAATATGCCACGTAATAATGGGTGTATTACCACCATTCTTTAATTGCCAGAAATATTTTAAATAAGCCTTGCTATTCATGTATCTTACATTACCTAAAGTCATTTGCGGATGATAAAAATGAAATTTCCAAGGAATTGTCAGTGGATCCATATATATATATATATATATATATAAAATGACAGAATTATATTATAATTCGCAATATTTATCGGAGACCGACTCGTTAGAACTGAGATAAGAATTATATATATATATATATATATATATATATATATATATATATATACTAGAGCATAAATCCCTTCCCAGTCAGTGCGCGTAAGTCAATAATAAATATTAATTTGTCGATATACATTGAACTTTTCAGATAAAAATTCAGCAAGAAATGGTTTTTCATCATCAGACTACAGACTTATCCATGTAGTTAGATGGTTAATATAAAAGCATTGGATTAAGTGCAGTGACAAGAAAAGAGATTATGTTGATAAATAAATATTTCTTTTGTAAAAGAAATGATTTTTCATCATCAGACTACAGACTTATCCATGCACTTAAATAGTTAATATCGAAGCATTGGATTAAATGAATTGACAAGGAAGAAGATTATGTTGAAAAATATCTTGCGTAAAATAAATCTTTTTTTTTTTAATTAGTCTAAAAAGTTATTGACGTAATTTGACCGTCGCCATCTTTGCCTGTTTTTTCAAATTTTGATACAAGCAAACTGATCTGTATACGAATGACATAGACATTATTCCATCACACAGACATTTTTTTGCGAAGTTAAGATCCAATTCTTTTAAAAGATCGTATTATGCAGAAAAGGGTCTCTGTTGTGTTTACAATATTTTCTCATTTAAATGCCCCAAACATGCTCTGACTCCATTTCATCACCACATCGACGGTGAGTGGGCGTGTGTTTGTGTGTGTCTTTGTGTCTGCGTGTGAGAGAGAGAGAGAGAGAGAGAGAGAGAGAGAGAGAGAGAGAGAGAGAGAGAAGATGAAAAATAAAACTACAAAATAAATAAATAAAAGCAATAAAAGTTACAAATGGAGAAAAAATTAAAGATGAAATGGCAAATGTCTGAAGGATAAAGAAAAAACAACAACAAAAAAACAAACATAAGCACATTACGTAATCACATCAATAAGTCTGTAGCCTAAGGATGACGAAACAAATATTTTAAATAAAAAAAAAAATATTTCTCAAAATATTCTTATATATTGTCAATGCACTTAATTCAGTGATGAATATTAATGACATATATTAAACAATATACGTAGAAAATTTCAGATCAACATTTAGCTAAAAGCTATATTTTAGGCTATGTACTTATTGATTCATCCTCCGACATATCTGCAGATATCCTAACATATACATTTAGGTTTCTTTCTTTCTTTCTTTCTTTCTTTCTTTCTTTCTTTCTTTCTTTCTTTCAACATGTGCGTGCGTGTGTGTATGTGTGTGTGTGTGCTTATGCCTGTGTTAAAAATATTGATTAAATAAGTAAAATTACGATTTTCCAACTTTCATCTTTACTCTCTCATTCTGTTTTCTCTCTCTCTCTCTTTATATATATATATATATATATATATATATATATATATATATATATAGGCAGCATATCTATATTCAAACATATATTCAAATTCATTAAGAAAGGCGCCGTTGTTTTTTCTTTTTTTTTATTTTCCAAAGTACTGAAAATGATCACGGACGTGATTGAAAGCACTTGGGAAAATAAAAAAATGAAATGAAAAGATAAAAAACAAATTTGCAACTTCTTTAATGAATTTAATATCAACATCAATAAGTCGATTAGAGGATAAGAGAAGATAAAATATTTCCAGATTATTCAACGAAACATGCTTGAATTTATATATATATATATATATATATATATATATATATATATATATATGACGATTGCGCCTAGCATGAAACAGCCTGTCACCTCTGAGTGTTGACTTGAATGTTCACTTTTATATTTATATTTACATACGCTCTATCTCTGATATTGAACACTTTATCCCATAAATATAGCGCACCTTAAAAAACTATATTTCTTCATATATATATATATATATATATATATATATATATATATATATATATATATATATATATGTATCCCAAAGAAACGCGAAATGGTTTAAAATGAATTTTTTAAATATAAAATCTTTCTTGAAGCTTTTACTTTGGTTTTAATTTCAAGCTAATAGATTAACTTTAATATTTAGAATAACCAAAATATTTTGCTGTATTTAAAGATGAATTATAAATTGTTTGTAATAATTTTTAAATGTTTATATATATATATATATATATATATATATATATATACCGGGTGTAACAGCAAACTTGACAAATATTAGAACCTCTGAATCGTTGTATCTTAGAAATGACTAAAGATATATTATTGGAATTCTCCGAGGTTTTTATAGCACTATTGGACTCTATTTTGATCAATAAGAATGTATAATGGCTCTTCTGGCTTAACAGAAGAATTTGTGATGAAATCGATCATAAACGAAAATGACATGTTCATCATTAATTATTCTAAGCTGAGGATTTGAAGCCCATGAAGGATTGAAATAAAGTTCAAATATAGATATTATTTCAGAATCATTTTCCAAATTATTCAAAATGATCTTTGCTCTCTCTAAACTTCTAACTTTCTGTCCTGGAGTAACAAGCTGACTTACACATTTCACCTACGATTTAATTTTCAAGTCTTTTTTCACTGCTCTTTGGACTGTCATAGTTGAAACTCCTCTCTCATGCGCCAAACGTCTTATGAATTGAGTTGGATCTTTTCTAATTGATCACTTCAGTTTATGTTGAAATGATGGTCCCTTTCATGTGACCTTCTGATCCAGTTTTCCTCTCTACTGTTCCCTCTTTTTAAATTTATTCACCGTTCTCTTGACACTTCTTGAATGGACTTTGAAAATGGAAGCCAGAGTATGAATGTTGATACCATTAGTGAAGGCCTGAATGATCTTTTTTCCACTCACCATTGCTCAGTTTGGAAGACAGTGTGGTTGACACAAAACAATTTTAACCTGTTCTCTTTTTAGCTGAATAACTCAAAATGTTTTTCAGTGATTCTTACGACAAATGGTATCAAAATGGCTAAACATCTTATCTGAAAATCTGGAAAAAAGAAACTCAATTAGTTCAGTGTCTTTTTAAATATTAAACCTTTTGTGGGATGGACAATTTTGCAGTTACACGCGGTATACATATATATATATATATATGTATATATATATATGTGTGTGTGTGTGTGTGTGTGTGTTTATGTGTGTGTGTGTGTGTGTGTGTGTGTGTAAAAGCGTTATATAATTTTTTATAGAATAATTTTAGGAACATCTATGACAGCGTTTAAAAAAATAATACGAAGTCCTAAAGGACGAAGCGAGAAATTTTTTTTACCCACTTTTTCATATATATATATATATATATATATATATCCGATGCGATGAGAAAGAAAGTAATATATAAATTCCAACGTTCACAGCATTAATCCAAAAGAGGACTCGATACCGATAGTAGAGCGATAATTATTTTCATAACCATTTTCGATTGTCACCCGTCGAAGTGCAGTTGAAATGCACTGAAACCAAGTTGCATGTTTGTAGCGAGTAAAATGGTTTTGTCTATATGATAAAATTTGAATATATATATATAAAATAAAAAAATTAATATATATTAGGAAAATCTATCACAAAGTGGGGAAAATATAAATATCGTGGTTTACTAAAACTTGGCTCACTTTTATTATAAAGCTACGAGTAAGGTGTACTCAGTGGGGATTGAAACCACTTCTCAGTCGTAAATGATCTAGCGAGATAAGCTTGATAACCATTAAACCATGTCGAATTGCCCATGGCAAATGTGTATGTATATATATATATATGTGTGTGTGCATGTCTGCGTGTGAGTGTATGTTCGTATGTGTCGTTATGCATGTTTGTACATAGAAAGAAAGAAAGAAAGAAAGAAAGAAGGGTGAAATTTAATACGAAATATATGCAACATTCTACGAAGAAGAAAAAGAAGCAGAAAGAGCGGCACAATGGAAGTGTGTGTGGCAATCAGAGAGAGAGAGAGAGAGAGAGAGAGAGAGAGAGAGAGTGTGTGTGTGTGTGTGAGAGAGATCAGGAAAGAAAAATAAATTAAGGTACAAACAAGCAAAAAAAAAAAAACTGAAAGCGACTTAGGGAGGAAGAGTAAGGGTAGAGAATTCTATGAACTTTTTGATCGACACTCGGACATTTTCTTTCTCTCTCTTTATTGACCTCTCTCTCTCTCTCTCTCACTCTCTCACTCTCTCATTCTTTCTCTTTCTATGTGGAGATATATATCTATATAAATAAAGAGGGAGAGAGAGACAGATAGCAAGAGAAATATTAATAAATATAGTAATAAATAAAATGAGATGGTAATTTATCTTGTTCATGTTACATCCACTCGTTACATGTTACTGTTACACACACACACACACTGATATATATATATTAATCGATTTTATTTTTTAATACGACATACTTTTTTCCTCAAACGTTATTTTTAGTGGCTAGCCGTATTTGAGTAGACGTTCCGTACGAAATAAATACAAATGCATATATATATAAATATATATATATATATATATATATATATATATATATATATATATATATATATATATATATATATAACGATATATAATTTTGTATAATTTAATATCAACAAACAGTATTTATAAAAATATGATAAACTGGAAACGCGTCACAAAAAAAAACCTTTCCAGTTCGTCATGTATATATAAATAACACATTTTTTATGTTTCTACGTTCTTTTTATAGATACAAATATTTAAGTAAACGCTCTGTTTATATTAAACAGTATTAACATTTACTGGCGGGAATGTCCGAGTAATTGTCATAGAAAATATGCGTCCTCCGGTAGGAATCGAACCTGTATCCTATACGGAACCGTCATATAGCCTGACGTGCCTTAACCGATTCGGCCACAGAGGAGTGTTTCAGTTAGCATGGTCGATTTTACTGTTTTTAAACACAATACTACATGTTTTTCTGTCATTCATTCATATCTGCTCAATGCGTATCCAAAATTTCTCAGACATTCAGGCCGGTAAATGTTGTTAATACTGTTTATTATAAACAGAGCATTTACTTAAATATTTGTATCTATAAAAAGAACGTATAAACATAAAAAATGTCTTAAATAATTGTCAGATTTTGTCCATTTCATAATATATATATATATATATATATATATATATATATATGGGAGAAAAAAAAGAAAGAATGAAAACAGTTTATATACCAGAAAAATGTTACTAAAACTAAAGAATGACAATAAACGTGTAGCCCAAAAATTCAACTTTGTCATTAATTTTCATTTTATATATATATATATATATATATATATATATATATATATATATATATATATATATGTGTGTGTGTGTGTGTCTGAGTGTGGGTGTTGTATGTAGAAAAAAAGGAAAAAACGAAAGAAAGAAAAGAAGACAGAAATAAAGACAGAAAGAAAGAAAGAAGGGATAAAATTTATGAAGAAAATTGAAATATTGTAAAAGAGAGATACAATGGGAGTGGTATAATCAGAAGTTGTGTAGGAATAAGAGAGAGAGAGAGAGAGAGAGAGAGAAGGAATAAAAGAAAAAGAACGAATTAGTAAAAGAGATGGGGGTATGGTCTGCAAAAACAAAAGAAAAAGCACTGGAAAATGGCAGAACGAGGGAGAGTAAGTGGGAGAGAATGCTGGCCGTTCTTTATTGGACATCGTTAAGCGTACTGGCCATTTAATTTTTCTTTAACGTCCGCACACCCCGTATCATCGCTTTCCCACTGAGGGGACATACTGTCCTGTGTACCGGGGCTAACCCTGGCCGTTCGCAAGGCCACCAGATGGTAGTCCTCATGCGATGTTCGTCGGGTACTGGGTGAGCCTTGAGTATATCTCGTAGTCACACTCTTTGTTTCCATGTGGTCCCTTACCTTCTTGGCCAGCGCTGCTCTAACCTAAAAAGAGAAAATAAAAAAAATCTAAGTAGAAGGTATTAAAAACACGAGAAAAAAAAAGAAGAGAACGATCATACCTCTCCACTATTTCCTGTCCTTTGTAACTATTGTAACTATTAATATTTTTTGTCTTTTACTTATCTCTTCTAAAACTTGTCCCGGCACCCAGTTGCTCAAACTAGCTAGGTAGGTTATGCGTTGTTTTCCTCTGTCCCTCTTGCCTTCATTCTGTCCTGGGAGTATTAAATTTTCCAAGTTCCCTTTCCTCGTCTTCCGGATGTCTCAGTTATCAACCTTTAACTTAAATCTCCAAGGTTTTGTTTACCGTTGCAATATCCAGGTATTGAACTCACAACTCTTGGGTTAAGTCACTGGATCCAACCAACGCTTTTATCCATTGAGTCATGCATCCTCAAGAGGCATGGCACGTGGCACTAGAACAATTTGCTACGGTGGACGAAATAAACGATGCAGTTTGAAATTCCAATCACATGAAGAAGGCCGGATCGTACAACGGTCAAAACGTCGTGAATATGGCAATAAAGATGAGGACAACAGCTTGAACAATGTAAATATTGTAAATAATTACAATACCTCATCTCAGAAATATAGACAGATCCTGAAGAAGGCTGGAGCGTACAACGGCCGAAACGTCTTGAATATGGCAATCAAGATGAGGACAACAGTCCAAACAATGTAAATAATGTAAATAATTACAATACCTCATCTCAGAAATATAGACAGATCCTGAAGAAGGCTGGAGCTTACAAAGCCCGAAACGTCGTGAATATGCCATCATAGATGAGGACAAAAGTTCGAACAATGTAAATAATGTAAATAATTACAATACCTCATGTCAGAAATATAGACAGATATAGATTATGGGTCTACTGACATATGACAATATTCAACGAAAAAGGCAGTGGATTATCGAGGACAAATCTGTATAATCGACCCTAAAAGATGAGCTCCAGGGAAGAAAGATAACGTTGTACATGTGGTGGGGCGCATTTAGATTTAAAATGCAATGAAATACTAAGTGCACAGTTATACGTTCAGCAGCTGCAACATGTCCATAAAAGTTTGGTCGAAAACCACCATACGTTTGTTAATAGAAAAATTCTGCTCTCCTCTACGATAACGCAAGGCAACATCCGGCAAGAATAACAAAAGAAAAAAGTTTCAAAGTAGGTCGCTTTGTTCCACACAATTCGCCATATTCACCTGACTGCTAACTTTTTTTTTCAATCTCTGCAAAACACTTTGATGAGGAAAATGTTTCTCAAATGAAAACCAGGTGCAAGAGGTCTTCAAGAAACTTTTTCACTACAAAACATGCGGAATTTTACTCAAAAGATATCGAAATAATAATGCCCGATAAATGGTAACACGTAACTGCAAATAATGGTGAAAATGAATAAAATGCAATTGCACTTCATGTTTTGAAGAATAAAATTGGTAAAAAATTAGAAAGTTATTTAGAACTCAAACCAATATAAGTTTGGAAAGTGAAAATTTCACATGAATCTGTTGGAACATTTCCAAGTTTTCATCAAAATTCTAAAAAATAGGAACTTTAAACAAAATGGTTACAAACGTCAGGAGTTCCAGCGCCCTACGAGGCTGGCATCCCGTTCTCACCCCTTCACTGTCGAAACTCCTAAATGTAGCCGTCTCTTCTACTCTAATAGCTTCATGTCTCGCACCTCTCGCCTGTGGAACTCCCTTCCCTTCTCCTGTTTCCCTGTGAGCTATAATCTCCAGCTATTCAAGTGTAATGTCAATCGACATCTCCAGTTGCCTTGATCTATCCACAACCCTCATCCTTTCTTCTATCACTCCTATCTGATCTTGCTCTAAATTTTCTGTAACCCCTTGCGTCCTAGTGGCTTCCCGCCTTGCTTGGGGTGAAATGCTTAAAAAAAAAAAAAAAAAAAAAAGGTATCAGTTGAACATCTAATCCTCCTGGCATTTCACCTTATATAGAAACTATATTTACAAATAATATATATATAATATATAAATATGATATATATATATATATATATATATATATATATATATATATTTATATATATAATTTTAATGAAAATGTCAGTTGAAAATGGAACCTTCTTTTTTCGTATACCTAATCTGTATTCATAAAGTATAATTTTAGTGAAAATTTCACTGAAATACGTTGAGAAATTTCAAATTTTTTATTTGAAATTAAGGAAAAAACACTTTAAGCAAAATGGTCACAATATATGATAAAAGGACTTCAGTTTTAACTATAATGAGATTGGAGTCAGTTAATACAAATATTGTTTTTTATATATTTAAATTATAATTATGATCTATAATTTTAGAAAGTGATAATTTAACTGAAACTTGTTACAAAATTTCCAGATTTTAATTCTGAAATCAAGAAACAAGAACTTTAAGCAATCAATAGCTTCATCTAGCACAAGGAAAGTTGGCTTTCTGTGTCGTGCCAGAAAGTTTTTCTTGTCTAAGTCCATCTTTCAAATCTATAAATCAACCACCCGTCCTTGCATAGAATATTGCTATCATATAGGGTCTGGTGCCCCCACTGTAAGTCTCGAGATCCTTGACAAAATCCAGAGACGAATCTGCAAGATGATAGGTCCTGATCTGGCATCTAGTCTACAATCGCTATCCCACAGACGTGCTATAGCCTCCCTCTGTCTCTTTTACAAATATTTTCACGGCAACTGTTCTGACGAGCTACTTTCGCTGGTTCCCGGACTTCATGAATTTAAACGAGGTACCAGGCCGGCATCTTGGTCTCACCCTTTCACAGTCAAAACGGTTAAATATAACCTTCTTTTCTACTCAAACAACTTCTCCCGCACTTCCCATCTGTGGAACTCCCTTCCCCTTATTTGCTTCCCCGATGACTATAATCTTCAAATATTCAAGTGTAATGTCAATCGACATCTGACACCCTGAGCTTGTTCCCGTCCTTCTCTGTATCCTTTCCCCAAACATGCCTCTTTACTCTTGTTCTCAATTCTATGTAACCCCTTGCGTGCTAGTGGCACTCCCGCCTTGCTTGGGGTGAATTGCTTTAAGAAAAAATTAACATGAGATAGAAAAAGGAACATGTCAGTTTAAACTGACACCAGTGAGATATGGGTTAATCTATTGGAATGAATTGTAAGAATAGATTTCCTTTACCATCCAAACATAAGCATCATCATCATCTTAATTATAGTAACACTTTCTTCCTGAACAAAAAACAGCCCTAGCAGTAAAGCCACTAAGATACAAGGGGTTATTGGGTGTGAAAGAATTAGAAGACAGAAACAATATTAATGAGCGAGAACAAAAAAGTAATCAGGAGGACAATACATAACGGTTGACATTGCATTTAATTTTTGAAGATTAGAATTGTCTGGAAAGCATGTCACCGGAAGGGAGTTCCACAAGTGTGAAGTGCGAGAAAAGAAACTGTTAGCATAGAACTTACGGTTACATCTAGACAGCACAACTGTAAATATAATTCTTTGAAAGAAAACGCTTCATCTACATATTGGCAGAAATTAAATTAAACTATCTTTTATTCATGCAGCGAACCGAATACATATTCGAAGACTAGCAGGGATACCAGGCGTTGCTCGGGAGATTTAATAATAATAATAATAGTTTATCATTGACGATTTATTGATATTTTTCAACCATTTTTATGTAAAATAATTTTTTATTCAATCTTTACAAAAGATTGTAAAGATCTTCATTGCTTTTTTTCTTTTTTTTTCGTTTGTTACAAAATAACTAAATTTTTGGAAAATACCACACTACCAATACCACCTTCAGAGGGAGGGGCTTACAGGGTTGAGCATCCCCGTATTTTTTTTCAAAAAGATACTTTATTTTTCGAATTAAATACTAACATAAATACTCTTTTAATGTTGTTTTCAAACAAATCAAATCGATTTATCGTTTTTCAAATTATTATTAATAAAAAGTAAATAAACTTAAATTATGTTATGGTCCGGTTCCTTGTACCACGGTGATAGTCCAAGGTAGAACCAATAAAGAAGAACTCGAATACGGATATGGAATAACACAGATATATTACAAACAGGAATATATACAGAGAAGTAGAAAGTGTTAGTACGAACAATCAGGTTTAGTAGTAATTGTCTGAACGCGACTCTGTTTCGGACTGCCTCTGACTCGACTAACTCACTTGCTCTGACTGACTGACAGACTCCTGACGGACTTCACTCCAGACTTCAGACTGAACAGTATTTAGTCACCCCCCCCACGAGGGCATCATGTGGCACAAGGCCGGTTTAACGTGGGATCGCCAAAAATATGACCTTTGAACCTGTATAAACGGGTTCAGGGTCGGTTTACCTCCCCGAAAGAGACTCCGCCCTTCAGCGTAACCTCCTTCGGGTTCCTCCCCGCCCGAAGGAAGAGAGTTCAACCGATCAGCCGGTCGCCCGACTTCGGACTGAACTCTCTGCTTCCTCTTGAGGCGCAGTATTTATTACGTATGGAATAATCCATTATGTTATTATGGGTAAGGTCCCATAACAAATTAAAATATATTTAAACATATTTAATTTAATTATTTTTTTCAAGCAAAAACTATAGCGAGCTTTACTTACAATTTATTTTGGAGGGGAATTTAGAATTTTTAAGTAAATAAAGTTTTACTTTTAAACATTACGTTAGTGATTATTTTCCTTCTAAAGAAAGTGAAAGAAGGAAACATTTCTCCGTAAACGAATTTAATTACTATTTTGA